TTTGGATATGATACTAGAAATGACTTCATAAACCAGTTAGTCAATGATGCCATCATTAGTTGCAGCTGCTTTTAAGTAGGCATTAAAGTATTTGTAGAAATAATAGCTCTCTCTAGTATAGTTAGTATTAACCTAATTGATTTTCATATATTCATCTTCTCTTTCTTTGGCGAGCTTATACATAAATGTAATTGGTATAGATTTTTGAAAAGTGACTATATATACTTTGACTTTTTTAAAAATTGAAAAGTCTAAAATAGGTTGATTAATACAAGGCTTAGATATGAAATCTTTTGATGGTGCTAGGTAGTACTCAAAGGATTCTTCAAAGAAACTTGTTATAGATTTTTGGCATTATGTTCCTTATTTTCAGAAAGTATTTTACAGTTTTTACTGTCATATTTATGGATATAAAACAGTGCTGCTTTGAAGCATTGTTGTAATCGTTTACATAGTGAATTAATATTTGAAATAGAGAAATGGTGAGATAAAAGATCTTTACAGTTTTGAGATAGTTTTTGAGCGATATTATATTTAATATAATTGTAAACTTTTTTCTCGTCAATTTTATGAAATTGGCTCTTATATAAATTAAAGACTTTAAAGAACTAGACATCAAAATAATCAGAGTATTTTTGAGTGAAGGGATTTGGAAGGTTTGAAAAATTGTTTTTTTAGAATATTAAAAAAGATATTTATATTGTATAAGCTATCATTTTGAATTTTAAGAGCTGGTTGATAGTATCTATACTAAAGAAGTAGTAAGGTCTGAGTCTGATTGGACAAATGTTTAGGTTTTCACAAACTTTTTTAGCATTGATAGTCTGGTATTTGTCATGGAGTATAAGTGTATACAAGCAAGGTTTAATACTACTTAATTACGATTAGAGGTAGTATATAGTAAAATAGTGTTATTTGCAGTTAAAACTTTAGAGTAATTAATTTGTATAAAGAAAGTTGTAGTAAATTCTTTAAGTAACAGAATTAATGTAGAGTGGAGGATATTAAATAGAATTAAAATAGCATTATTAATATCTGGATTATTTTGGTAAATAAAGTCTGTAAGAAATTTAGACCTTAGGCCTGCTAATTTGTTAAATAAATATTTATAAGTAAATTTAAATTCTGGTTTATCATCCTCTGCCTTTTTGGTTACTTTGCCTAAGTAGATATCAATTAAATGTAGTTTAATAAAATCGAAAAGTTAATATGCAAGAGGGTTGTCGAATTTTGTATAAAGTTGCATGTTTTCAAAAATTGGATATTCTTTAAATCAATCAAGATCATTGGATGTATCTCTAGTAGGTCTTTGTATTTGTTTTTGCTATTGTTATTTATTAAAGTTCTGTTCTTGATCATCATTGTATTGCTGGTATTAATGTTATTGTTGCTGTTGTTGTTCTGATTTGTTTTCTTAGTCTTTTTGTTGTTGTTGTGTGTCTGGTTTTTTTGGAAATAGTAATGACAAGATTTCACCTTTTTCTTTAAATGAGAGTTTTTAGAGTTTGATTAAAGAGATTATAATTTTTTCTTGATAGGTAAGAGGTTTCTTGTTTTGAGCTTTAATGCGAGCAATAATTATTTTATAGTAAAATTCGAGTTTTGATAAAGTTGGATAAATAGGTGTAGGCTTCATATTGTAGATATGTAATTTACATTCTCTGTGAATCAATCAGTTTTTAATGAGGTCGCATACAAGGTAATCTTGTGCATGTTTGTGTTGGCCTGTTGATACATAGGGAAGAGTTTTTTTTCTGTAGAAGATACAAGTATAGTAATATTGTGAATGTGAAACAATAGCAACAGGATTGGGGTCAGTCCAGTAACTAAGAAAAAGTAAACATTGATTGGCTTGTTCAGGTTGGTCCTTTGTAGGTTGTTTAGTAATTGGAGATTTTGGTAGGTTATCACACTTTTAGGTTAATTGATTTATAGAGATGTTAGTAGATGTAATTGCAAGTTGACCAAAAGTTGTATGCTCTGTATGTATAATTCTGTAAGTTTGCTGAAGTAAAGCTAGTGTGGTATTTATCATAGTAGCATTTACTAATAGAGGTTAATGAGGTACTTAAAAGAAGTGCTTTTTTGTTAAATTGCAAACTTCAGGTTTGAAAGCATGTAGAAGTATTTTGAGATTTTGGTCCTTTTCTGTAATCTCTACACCATATCAATCATGATAATTTTTATAGTAGTAATTGAGATTATAAGAATTCAGATCTTCAAGACATAATGTAGAAAGATAGATAGAAGTTTTAGTAAAGAAGTATGACAAATAAGGGGTATGACAAATAAGGGGGTATGACAAATAAGAGGTGTAACAAATAAATGAATGTGATAAATAAAGGAATGTAACAAATAAGGTGTCACACAGTATAGTGATCAGTGGATCAACAAAATCGTTGAAAGCTAAAATTTATATAAATTTAATTAAAACCAAAATAGTAAAGAAGGTTTTTTATATAAAAATAGATGAAACAAGATTGGAATTATATAAATTGATTAGTAATATAGATTAGTAATTGGGATCTGCAAGTTTGGGCACCCTAGAAAGAGCAGGATGCCTCAAAAAAATAGAAAAAAAATTTATAAAAATTAATCAGAGTTTTATAGAGAGTTTTATATTATTTTGTTAATAAAATTAGAAGTATTTATCTGTTTTTTGAATATATTATATATCAAATTGAAGCTCTGGTTGAGCTTAATTTATTTATATTAATAAGCAAGGGTTTATTTAAAAAATTTTAAGTAAATAGCAAAATATAGAATTTTAAAAAATTGATTATAAGCCTTAGAGCTATAAAACTAAACTGCTTATAAATAAAATTAAGTGTAGAACAACTTTACTTAGGCAGCCAAAGATAGTTTAATTAATAAAATGTTGAGTAAATAGCAATTGTTTTCAAGAAAAATTTGGTACAAGTGATTATCAAGAAGAGTTAGTAATTTGCATCATCATTAAAAAAAATACTTATAACCAATCCAAAATATAATGCTTTTAAATGTCAACTAAAAAAACTAAAATTACTTTATCTTAAACAATTATATACAGCTGATAACAATACACTTCTGGAATGTAAACATCTTTCATCCAGAATTTTGCATCTACACAAAGAAAGAAAACTACTATGGTTTCAAAAATACTTGAAAATACAGTTTTTAAAAATAAATACAAATGTTTTCTATATATTTAGTATCAACAACAGGGTGTCAATATCTTTGCTTATAATACCTACAATATCACTAAAAAATCTAAACCATGGTTACTTTTCTTTAATGAAAATGAAATTATTATAGATAAAATCAGAACACATCTTTTAGACTCCAACACAATCTCTATTACTTACTAGCAAACAAACATTAATAGTCTTAATACAGGATTCTATCAACTTTCACCTATCAATTACAATCTATGTCCTGGCTATAATCTTAACTCAAACAGAATTACTTCAGCCTGTACTATTAATATATCAGCTATTACATCTCCTTATAAAAAACAGTTGTTTATTTTTTGTCAAATTTTTGTTCAAATTTTGTTTAATTTATATATATATTAAAAATCATTGTGTAAAAAAGTATCATTTTGTTTATTTTTTGTATAAAAAGATTTTGTAGTGATAAAAATTTTAATAAATATAGACAAAATGTCACTTTTTCAAACAATTATAATACAAAGTAACACAATTATTATACAAAATATATATAATTATTGTATAAATATAAAACAAAAAATAAAATAATTTTTTTTATAGTGTCTATACAATTCTTTGGTAGAATTTCCTCTAATTTATTTAAATTTAATACTAACTATATGTACCTAATCTTTTCTACTGCTGTTAAATACCAAATATCATTTGCTTTACCTCTTTACTATCATTTAATCTGATCTACTTCTCTGCTGCATCTGAAATTTTTTATTCTAATAACAAAACAAACAAATTAATTAAAATTTTATTATCAAATTCTACTAAAACATCTTTAACTTTTATAATAATAGCTCTGTTCTTGACATAGATAAAAATCAGCAGGGATGGTAAGTGATTTGAAATGACCCAAATGACTCAAATGACTAGTGACCAGTCATGGTCATTTTGAAAGGCCAAATGACCTATAGGGTTATTTAAAAATTAATACAATTTGTTTGGCTATTTTAAGAACCAGAATTTTATTAAAACTCTTACTAATAAATCAATATTTATTAAATTAAATACCCAACTAACAATTTTTAAATATTATTAATAACCAAAAATAAATATTTATATATATTTGTCTTTATATTTGAATAACAAGAGCGACCATTCAAATTCATAGTTTTCTCTATTATAGTTACACATAATTATCAACTAATCATATCTCAAATTTTAGTAAATCGGCTAATCAAATAGTAAATAAATACTGTGAGATTCATAGGATTCAAAGAATATGTTGTAAGGTGAAGCAAAGGCATTAATTCATCTGTTAAATTTAACTTCATTTCATAAAAAGTTAAGCTACAGAGCTTTTAAAATAAGCATTATAAAATATATAAAAAAAATTAATTTATCAATTGTTTAACTATATCGGAATAATCCACAAATTTGAATGATGGCTTCTGTTTATTTGAATTCTTATAATTGATACAATAAAATTTTAAACCAAGAATATCTAACCTATAAATGATCGTGAAAAATAAGTTAAATAAATAAAATTATCTTTTTATTGCTAGCTACATTACTAACTTTTTTTTGTTTAGGATGATTATAATGATAAGTAATTCACTATCTTTCTATTTGTATTTGAAACTTTGCCAAAACCTTTATTGCTAATCACAATAAGGGTTGTAAATTTATTCATTCAAGGTAATTAAAATATCTGTCAGAAATAGCTTTTTCAAGCCATTCTTCAGATATTTATTACATCACAGTTAGCAATTCATTGTTATAATTTGCTATTATCAGATATTATTCATTAAAAGTAAAAGAAATAGGCGCTTCCAATGAAGCATCAAATAATTTTGATAATTTTCATTTTGCTGATTGATCATCTGCCGGTTCAAATTCAACTACTTCCTCATTTACAATTTCCCCACTCTTTAAATGATTCTCAATATCTAACATATCAATCCAATTCTTAATTACATATGACCAACGCTCTTCAATATCATTATCAGTATCTTCAGTTGTTTCAGTTGCTTCAGTTGTTTCATTTGCTTCAAGAGTTTCAGTTGCTTCAGGAGTTTTGGTTGCTTCAGCTTCAGGAGTTTTAGTTGCTTCAGAAGTTTTGGTTGCTTCAAAACTTTTACTTGGTCCAGCTGGCAAACTATTAGAAATCAATACAGCTTTATTGTCACTTACAGAATAATCTTGCATTCTATCATCCTCATTACTATCATCACTATCATAAGGCTAAATTGGGGCTGTAATATGAATTCGCTTATACTGTCGTTCAGCCATTTCAATCTCTTTACGCTTTTGTTTATTTAATATATCACTTTGTAGTTGACTCATTGCCAGAACTTTTTCAAACTTAAATAAACTAAATTAGTAAAATATAAAAATTAAATTTAACAAATAAAAATTGTACACATACTGGTAAACGATTTCGGTTTTTGGTATGTAAAAAAACCCATTGTTGTCCATAATCGTTTAACTGAAGCTGAATTGACACATATGCCAAATAGCCATAATGCCAATTGAGACAATTCTGGTGCCAAACCTTTCGCCATATCTCAAAAATCAACAATATCTTCAAATTGATTATATGATTCTTTATTGAAAGGAAAATTCTCTCTCTGGTATGATAAAAATTCACACAAAATGCATGCTGGTGTTTTTTTAAACTATACATAGTAATAATAGTTTAACCATTGTGCAAAATGTGTATAAGAGAGATTAGAAATATTAGAAGAAAATTTTGAGAGCCGATATTTTGGATGCAAAATAAAAGATAATAAAAGTAAGGGGTATTGCCATTGAGCCCACCGATTTTCTAAACGTGCTATCATACGTTCAGAAAAATGTTCATTCTTATAGTTTGAAAAAACTTTAATAAGTCATTCAAAGCAGTGCATGATCTCATATAATCTCGCAACATCCTTTTGAAGTTTATTTAACACACAACATAAAGGATATAACAAATCTTGAAGCTCATAGAGCTGATTCCAAAAATTAGAATCTTGTACAATTAATGTAATATCATGCAGGAGCATCTTGCTTATATCAGAATTTTTTGATATAAATCGCTGTCGCGATAATCCACTTTGAGAATTACTAGCAGTCCCAACTCTTATAAGTGAAAACTTTGCAGCTAATGTCTAATTATATAAGATTTTAATATTAATAATTATTAAATATATAACTACTCATAATAAAATTAATAATTACTTTAAGTGTGGCTTCAGTTTTTAGAACAGAATGAAAACAAAAGTAAAAACTGTTCCAACAAATGTCCGCAGGGCTTGCAAGAGAAATAATTTGCCTATAGCATGCCATTTGTTCATTTCACAATAGTCCAATAAAATATAGTGATGAATGAAAAAATCTCACAATATGAATAGCATTTTTTGATGCTTTTTTGTATTCATTAGACTCTTTGAAAATATCACTGATAACCAAATTGACTTGATGCGCTATGCAAGGAATAAAAACTTTACTAGGATATTCGACTCTCAATTGTAGTCTATAAAAAATTTTATTAAATAATTTGCAATATATAAATGTACATTTATTATATTTAATACTTGCTTACCTTGCAGCTGCATATTCACTGGCAGAATCCGATACATAACAGTTTATTTTTACTCCTTTTTCTTCAGCACCATCCATAATATCCTTAATAAAGAGTTTTATATTATCGGTTCTTGATCGTTGGTCACTGATATCATGCGCATCCCAAATTAAAGGTTTTCCTTGAGATGTAATTAAAATAATACCAAAAAGATGCTCATGTTTAATATTCATCCAGCCATCAAAGGCAGCAGTTATACCAATTTTGTCATTACGCGTATGTTGTAAAATTTTATTAGTTAAATTCCTTGAAATCTTTGGAAGAACTCGATCGCTGATTGCTCTTTGGTTGGGTAACTTTAAAGATGGCATTAAAAAATTAAAAATATCACATGTTTCTTGGTTCTCCGTAAATGTAAATAGAAGACTATTTGATACAATCATGCATAACATTAAATTTTCAAAGTGCTGCTTATCTTTTTCAGATAATGGTTGTAAAATGTAATTGGCAAGGGATACTTGCTTATTAATTTGTGAAGTAGTAGATGAAGGAGCTGATAAGTTGGTTGTTGACGTCTCAGAAATTACAGTAACTTCATCATCTGATTCAGGCTTGGTTTTGGCTGCTAAAATTTATTGACAAGTTTAATATACTGCGTAAGCAATTAATTGGATAAAATTTTTAATCAAATTACCTTCACCCTTTTTCTTTCTAGTATATTCAGGAATAGATCGTGAAAGAATTTCTGAAATCTCATCCTTATTGTAATCAGCCTTAAAATTTTCACACTTATGAAGGTGACTACGGTATAACTTTGCTTTATTGGAAATAAAGCACTCGGGTTTTGTAAGGGCAACAGGCAAGGTGTGTTTCTGTGCACATGATAGGCATACTGCCTTTTTATTTGCTCTTGGATTTTCTGATGGAACCAAATGAAAAAACTCACGAAAATTGTGTTGTTTTCTACCCATCGTTAAGTTGTGCGTAAAAAAAAATCTTCTCACGATATTTATAAACTTCTGCATGAGTAGCACAAGATTAATTTCTATATATACTAAAATGACGTATAGAGTAGCGATAATGTTTCTCTTTAAATTCCTGGAATACTATTTTATTTTTTCCTTTTTTTCATATTTTTCAATTTTTTTTCTTTTTTTTCAATTTTTTTTTCATTTTTTTTCATTTTTTTTTTTTAGCTTACTTATATTGTTTTTTATGATAAAGAGAATTCCAACTGCCTTGGTTCTGCTTTGAGACTTTATATTATTACGTCAATGAAAAACTACATTAATTTTTTTATGCTTGTCTTTAATTTGCATATTCATAAAATTAAGATTACTTACTTTTTGTTTTAATTTGCTTTATTACCTTCCTGAAAACAATATCTACCTTCTTCAACTTCAACCAACGCCGGCTCTTCAACTTTACATTGATAACGTGTACAAGGTATATAAATTTGCTTAATATTTTAAGTTGGGAAAAAAATCTGATCTTTTGCTAATCCTGGTTCTTCCTTTTTTATATGTAACCATCGTATACTGTGATTTACATATGCATTGCACATATTTAAAAATAAACTTTATTGGCATGCATTATATTGCGGCTAGAGATGTGATAAAAAACTTATGATTTTGCAGCAAACTATAATTAGCTAAAAGCTAGTAGCATCCTATAGCTGTACAGCTTAAGTCATAGTTAACTAAAGTTTATGTCTTAACTAGTTACGGTTTAAGCTATAATGGTTTTATCGTATATATAGTTATAGTTTTATCGTATTTATAGTTATAGCTTAAGCCATGACTAGCTAAGGCTATATTGTAACTTGTTGCAGTATAAAGCTGTAATAATTTTTATAACCATAGTGTTCTTTTTTATCTCTAATGACTGAATGACCAGTATGACCCCAGTCATTAGTAAATGACCAGGGTTATTTGGTCATGAGTCATTTACAAATGACCAAAATTTAAATGACCAAAAATTACTAGTCATTTTAAGGTCATTTAAGGTCATTTAAAAATTAATCAAATGATCTAGTCATTTACCATCCCTGCAAATCAGTGCTCTATGTGTATAGGCTGGATTCAAATAGATAATAACAACTAAATAACTTACAAATTCTCAGCCAAGGTTCACCTATGGCCAACTTCTTACAAAGCTGAACTTTTATCTATTTTTTCTGCTATTTTAACTACTCCATACAATTCTTGCATCAATATTTATACAGACTCTTAATCTATTATTACTAAATATAACAAGCTCAATTCATCAATCATTAACCCTAACAAAATTCTCAAATTTAATACATGGTCTTTGTGGCATACACTTTTTAACTTAATTCAATTCTTCAAACTACAAATTACTTTTCATAAAGTTCAGGCCATACTGATAATACTTTTAACAATTTAGCTAATTTACTAGCTAAACAACATATATTTCAAACATCATTAGACTTTAATTATACTAATAGCTACAATCTATATCACATTTTACAGTAGAAAGAGGAATGGTATCTAGTAGAATACTCTACTAGATACTTTGGCAAAACTATTTGCAAAGCCCATATTCTAGTAATGTGGTTATCTTAAAAACAAAATAATGAATAGTCCTCACTTAATCAACAAATTGATTAGAGATCTACATGGCTTTATTTTAATTACAATCACAAACCCAAATACAACCTTCTCAACTTTAAACTTAACCAACTCAAGTTTTTAAAATCAAAATACTACTTAATAAGCTGCCTATATATTTACTCTATTATACATTATATCTCAAAACCTTTCATAGTAACAACTGCTTTTATTGTAGTTCTTTTAATTCTCCATCACACTAGCGTATCTGCACTAACCCCTTCCTATTTCATCAATTAATTTTATCCACTATTTTAAACTATTTTTATTCTGTCAAACATAATATACCCAATAATGAATTAGAGAATTTAATACAAACATGAAGCATTTTATAATATTACTTTATAACCCTATTCATATTTTATAGAGTCTACTCTTAAAGGTCTGATTCTCTGATCTTTAATTCAAACTATTCAAGATTATAATATTCCTTACTTTAAAATTAGTTTCTTAATAGAAAATAAGGAGTGATTTGCCATGTAAAAATGATTATACAGGATAAAAAATAGATAGTTACTAATATATCATTGTGATAGAATAATGTAATGAAACTATATATTATATATACAGTAAAATCATAAATAAAAAAAATAAAATAATAATAATAATAATAATAATAATATTCCTTACAAGATAGCTTCAAATATTATCTTCCTCTACTAAGATTTGAATGTTGGTCATGCTTAAATGTTATGTTAATTTTTTTAACAGAGATCCCGAGTAAACAGAGCATCTGTTAAAAAAAAATAAATATTTATTGTTATAAAGGATCCTAAAAAAGAGGTCCTTTCTGTAATCTCTATTAAATTTTAAATTTAACAGAGATCCCAGTTAATACCTATGTAAACTTTATATATATGTACATATATAAATATGTATGTATATATAAAAAATTTAGAGATTCTAGCTATTACCTGGTCTAACCTTAAATCAAACATAATAACTGCACTAAAATTGGTCACAAATCTTTGATCGAAGGTATCTCGGCAACCAATTGACCAATTTCAATGAAG